ATTCTTTTAAAAATATACCCTTTCCTTCAATTTTAATCTCAGAATTATACCAAATAGAAATAGCTTTCCAAAAAGGAGTAGTAGTACATTGAACCTGTAGTACATTAAACAATTACATATTAATCAAAACAAAAAAATTACAAAGAAACCTATAAATTACAATACATATGAAATATACATCAATGTGAACAGACTAAGTTAATCATATAAAGCAATTTTGATTAAATTAATGTTTCTTAATGCACGTTTTGAATTGGTTGACAGTCTGGTAGTGTGTTCCAAAGTCCAAACTCCAGCAGAATCTTGGCAAAAAGAGCGTAAAACGACCATAAAAAAGAGTTGACACCGAAGTACATGACCGTAGATTGCGTGTGAGGGGTTTAAATTGGTGGAGGGGAGGGGCGTTTTAACATTCGAATGGCATCATTAATGTGACCCCGCGCGCGATGTAGCGAAGCAACAGACTAGGAGAAGGTTTGGGAGGGGGTATTTCCATCTAAGAATTTTGATATCCTAGCTTTTTAAAAAATGGGGTTCCTACGTTTCTTTTTTTTCTCCACATTTCACAGAAAATATTTTGGCAGACATTATGATATAGGAATCATATGTTTATATGGCATATACAGTAAGCACGTTACAATGATACATACTTCACACGTCAGATTAAGTAAATGTGAAGAACCTATTAAAAAGCGGTGCTTGCAGATTCTAGGTTCCTGATAAAATAGACAAAGTAGATCAGTAAAAATCTGTAGCAGTAGGGGCAGTAGACGTTATATATAGGGGGATTTAAAATACAATGGAATGGGAAAATTTGTTTACATATACATTAGAACCAGGGGCGGCGGAGCGACTTTCAGTGTGGGGGGGGGGGAGGCACCAACAAAAAGGGCACTTTCTGGAGTAAAAGGGGCACCTTTATAGAGAAATTTCAAAGCGAAGATACACCATTTTTTAGACATTGGTATACACCCCTATACATTGTGATTATGTTGTCAGGGATGATTTCAAAATTTGTTTATCTTTATACACCTTACAAGGTATTGCTTAAGCATCATACTTTGCATTTGGGTGTGACGGTCTGAAAATTCATTTGCTAGCGAGGACGAATCCAATCCTAACGGGAATATAAGCACATTCTCATAACGGAAGACTGAAAAGACCTTGACAATAATTGTATCATCTATGAATGCAAGCGAGCGAGCTTTGGGGGAATTTGTTCTTAATCGCTTGAAATTATGGGCACGTTTAAAGAGACAGTTAAGTTTTGGTTTAGAGGGCGCTACACAAAATAATTTTTTGAGTCAAATTTCAAATAGCATACAATTTAAATGACAAAATCATCTTTGATTGATCAAAATCGGTTCAGAGACGGCTGAAATATTCAAAAATATACCATTTCTAATATTAAGTGGGGCCCCACAAATATTCGATAATTTTGAACCAGACGTTGCAAAAATGAGATGGCGTCTTATGCGTTTCATTCCAGCCAAATGAATGCCAATGTTGGCCCTTTTGGGGTGCTTTTTAGTGTTTGTTATATACAATACGCATAACTGTATACGCCCGTTTATTGTCGTTATTAATCAATTAATTAACTATACCGGTCATCGTGTTTTGTTTCAAAGTGGAGCTGAATTAATTGATTTAAATTTCACACATTTAACGTCTAAAATTACCTTCATAGCAATTTTAGGTCATGAAAGGGCACTAGAAATGTCATAAATAAGAATAAGAGTAGTAACCATGCACTTTGGAGGCATTTGCGGTCTTAAAAAGAACTCAACTGTCCCTTTAATGATAAAAGAAAAAGGGAACACTTATCGAAAGGAATAATAAACTTATTTGAAAAGAAAAGGAGCAGTGTCAAAGTACAAAGGGTACTATAATTATTATCAGAGGTGAAAATGGGGCCCTTCTTACAACTACAAAAGAGGCACTCGCTAGGGATGAAAAAAGGCACTTACGAGAATGGGAAATGGGCATCTGTCAACGGAAAAGGGGCACCCATCAGATCTTGATAGGGGCATTTTTGAAATTGGGATAGGTCCCTTATTAGAAAGGAGAATGGGCTCGCATCATTGTTAAAAGGGAAGTTATGAAAGCCTGAAGAGGGGCACTTATCGCACCTGAAAAGGGGCACTGCTTCTGATAATGGAAAATATGCATTAGTTGATAGAAAATGGGCACCGGTCAGATTTTAATCGGGGCATTTATCGGAGGTGAAAGGGGGCTTTTATGAAAAGGGGAAGTGGCTCTTATTAAAAAGAAAAAGAGGCACATGTTAGAATAAACGGGGCACGTGTCAAAATAAAAGGGGCAGTTATTAGAGGTGAAATGGGACACCAATCAGAGATGAAAATAGTTTTTTGTTTAAGTAAAAGGGGCACCTCTCAGTTTTTAATAGGGCAATTATCAGAGGTGAAAGGGGCACTTAATATATAGAGATTAAAAAGGGCACTTATAAGAATGGGAAATTGACACTTATAGCAAAGGAAAAAGGGAAGTTGTCAAAACAAAAGGGGAACTAATAAGAGGTGTAAAGGGAAATGGACATTTTTTTAAACAATTTAATAGGGCCACTGTGTAAAAGGGGCACTTTGGGAGTACATGATGAACCGCCTATGATTAGCATCAATATATTGAGTCACCTGGTTAAAATGCGTATATATAAAGTAATTTAACGATGGTGCTTTCAAACCATTTCAAAAAGAGGGGCCGGTATATATACAATTGTTTTTAGGAGAAAGACCGTCCGAATTTTTTTTTATTATTTTTTTTTTTATTTCGTTTATTTCCATTTCCAACAAAATAAGTAAAGTACATTGGATTGCATTGTACATAGTAAACCAATGAAACTTAACAATATATTTGTAATTGGTCCACAGTGTACAACAGGCATATAACACAGGTTAGTCATGGAGGGGACTGCTGAAAAGCTGGGCTTGTAGATTGCAGCCCCCTATAACTTACAGTTGCAAAAATATTACATCAATAATAAAAGAACGCACAAATACATAAACCAAATAGACATAACATAGAAGGAGTGAAAGGGACAGGGAAAGAAGGGAGACAAGGAACGAGGGAGGGCAGGGCTCTTACCTATAACACACACAACACAACACGGACCGACTGGAATACGGATGGCCAGTACAAAATGAATCAAAATATACAAATGTATTTTATTGAGTTAAATAAATTTAAAGAGGGAGAGCTAACGCTTGATAATTACGCAAAAAAGATTTTTTTATTTTGAATTTAAAATAATTTAAACTGGGGGCATTCTTGATGCTAACATCAAGAATGGTCCATAGCTTCGGGCCTGCGTAAGTGAATATGGATTTAGCAAGTAAAGTTCTAGTTAATGGCAGATGAAATTCGTCAGATTGGCGCGTAGGGTATTTGTGTATAGTTTTATTTTTGATGAACATTAAATTGAAGGCTGAGGGTAGCGTATTGTTATTTAACTGGTACATAAACTGTCCGAGGTTATAACGATATAAATCATTTATTTTCAACACATTATTTTCAACAAATAAAACGTCAGTATGAGATCTCCAGGAAGTGTTACAAATAACACGCATATCTTTTTTTTTGTAGAAGTAGTATTCTATGAAGATAAGAATCGTATGTATTACCCCAAACAATAATACCATAATTTAAGTAGGGCAAAACTAATGTCGAGTAAAGCATTAGTAGGGAGGAGGTTGGCAGAAAAAACTTAACCTTATTTACAATCCCTATATTGCGAGAGATTGTTCGGCAAATACTATCAATATGACATTTCCATGAGAGTTTATCGTCTATTATCAGACCCAAAAATGTCATTGAAGTGACGGCTTCTATGTCAGTATTATCTAGTTTAACATTATGTGGTAAGTTACCTATAGAATTGCTGAAGAGCATACATTTTGTTTTTTGTAAATTTAATGACAACTTATTAGCTCTTATCCATTGTAACAATTTGTCTAATTCAATATTTAGAATTTGGGAGAGATGGAAATTGTGGGATAGGAGTGGTTGGATCGAATAGTTTACTTAGATTACTAGTAAAGCGCGAGCGCAAACTTTTTATCCCACATCGATCGACTATAAAATTTTGTATCTTCATCTTGACGTAATTTCACCACCGTCTCACATTTTGTTTCTTCAATTAATCGCTGTCGATCATCCGTTGTGTTGTGCTGAATCTTTGCATCATCATCGTCGTTATCACCACATTATGAATTCGTGGATCGGACTGTCTCATCATCGCCGTCGTTGTCTCCGTAATCTTTTTCGCCCTCACCATCGTCTTCATCATCATCGTCTTCGTCATCATCATCATTGCCGCCATCATCAGCATCATCGTTCTTGACCTCGCCGTGGATGTTGATCAGGTTTGAGCTAATTATTTTTCAGCGCTTTGCTGAATTATTTAATGATCCTTTTTGTGCTTGATTTGTTTACGATTGATGTTTTTTTTTTTTTTTTTTTATCTAGACGGTGATTAAACTCGAGGTTAGTTTCTTCACTTGTGAAGTTTTCGTTTATCATTGTATTGCTTATCGTAATTTACATGAGATTAATTGCTCCTATTTTATCCAGTGATCACTGCTATTTTTATGTTGATTATTGACGTCTAGTTCTATAGGAGAGTGTTGTTTGCTCCCTTTGACATTAATATTGCGTGTATTTTTTGTGTGCCACCTTGATTATTTGAGTTGATTATCCAGTAAATTGTTGATATTTAATTGTTTAACCTGATTGTTTGATGGTGAGGTTTTTTGTCGTGAGCTTTTATAGATAAAATGTAAAAAAATTTCGGTGGACCAACAAGATTGTCATATTTGGGGTGGGGTTGGGCAGATCTCAAGTTAATTTTAATGCTAATTGTTAAGTCAGATTAATGAATTAAAGTGACTTGTAACCAATACCTTTTTATAATCTACTATTACTGTTCTGTTCCCAAATGTATGTCTATAGATAATTGCTGACTATTAAACTAAGCAAGGCAGATATTGAAAGATGACATCCCATCTAAATCGACAAGCCATATGGCGTTGTATCATTGCTGGCCTCTTTGCACTGATACTTGCTGCAGTGTTATCACCGTCAAAGACACCAGCATCTGAACCGTTCCGGGATGCAGCATCGATCAGAAGAGCTAGAGAGACCACCGTTAAAACGGCTGCAAAATTGATCGACTCGATGAAATCAAACAGACCACAAAATAGCAACCGTGTGCATTTGAGCGACGTAGAAGTGGATGTTATACGACATAGAATAAGATCTTCTGATGTTTTGGATGACTTGAGAAAGCTTAGCAAGACATGGCAACAAAAGTCTGACGTAAACACCATCCCAACTCCAGGCTGGCCATGGCCATGGCCAGCGCCAGTTGATCCCGATGTCTACCTTAACATGGTGAGTTTAAGATTCTCTCGTTGGCAGGTCTACATATTCGAGGGGATGACAACCCTTTTGGACGATTACTCCAGACAATTATCCTTCCCCCACCCTCTTTGCACGGGGTGGGGAGGGATAGTTTTGGGATTTGTCTTATGCCTTTTGTTATGGCTCTGTAACTTAAACCATTACAATTGAATTTAGGATATTGGTGAATAATGAGATACACAGTTCATACAGTTGTGTTTGGTTTGTACAATTATTTGTAAGTCAATGTTCATATTTTGGGGCTTTTTGATGGAGAGTGTACTAATTTGCTTCCTTGTAGTTGACTCTTGTCAAAGTCGTTAACTTGTGAATGATAGAGCTTGGACAAAAACAAAAATGTTTTATACCAAATTGTTTAAGGATGCAACTTTTTATTATATTACTATATCTAAGATGCTTGAACCACCCCCCCCCCCCTCCATCCCCCAAAACGGAAGAGAAACCACAAACAAGTAACCTCAAAAACATTAACAAGCAACAAAATGAAAAAAAGAAGATATAAGTAAAGTAACTTTGATATCCAACGTGAAATTTTAGGGGAATTGTTAATTGTTCATCCATATAGACATATGAAGCCACATATTCAGGAAGTGGGGGGGGGGGGGTTCTTTTGTATAATTCTGCAACTACATTGCTTCTTCCATTTCTTTGTGCATATCTGTACTTGTCAATAATTCATATTCCTACATGAGAATTAAAAGGAAATGCAAAGATACTGTGCAGAAATAAGAATTGAATATTGCGCAAACCGTATCAGATAATGAAAATGGAAAATCGATAGAAGAAAGAATTGATATATCTGTTGACTATTAAAGTGGGGTAAATACAAAACCATCTTATGACAATTTTCCTGTAGATAATGATATTTTCCTTCCTCAGGTCAAGCTTAAATATAATTAAATTCTTTTTCTTCTTTTTTTCTTCCTCATCTTCTTCATCATCTCCTCCTTCTTACCCTAAGTTTCCAGACACCTTTTTCTCTCCTCATTGTTTTTTCCTTTTCTTCTTCTACCTTTTATTGTCTTTTCATTACCTCTCGTTTTTTAGTATTTGCAGCACCAAATCAGACAATAAGCCTGACCCATACCGTGTTAGTCCTGAAGAATATTATATTTGTTCAAAATGGCATATTTTTGCTGTGCTTTTCATAAATGCTTGACTTTACAGTGCACTGTCATCAGTGTGATAGCTATGTTCATGTACATCTCAGGCTTATTGAGTGTCTATTGCATTTGTAGATGAGTCCAGGGGCAGATCAAAGATTTTGTTTAAAAAAAGGGGGGGGCACACTATGAAAGCTTGCCTACTAAAATTTACGGTTGGTTGGTAGAAGCTTAAACTACGATTTAAAAAAAATGGTGTTATCATATTATTCAGGTGCCTCTTGTGTAATTTGTTTAAAAACAGTTTGGGCATAAGCTTAGGGTTGTATACTGAAGGTACTGTATATGCTACATTGGTGTTAGGGAGGGGGCATGGGCCAGTTGAACCTCCCTAAATCCACAAGTGGATTAGTCAATCAGATATTTTTTTTCTTTTTCTTTTCAGAGTGGTTTGATCTGGAGTAAAGGTTATCCTGTGGAGGAGTATACTGTCCAGACAGAGGATGGATATCTCCTAGGATTGTTCCGCATCCCCCATGGCAGACAAAACAACTCCAAAAATACAGGTATAGAATGGCGTTTTGCTTTATCATCATGTATTTTAGTCTCCCTACAAAGTTCAAAATCATTTTTGGGCTTTATTGTGACATCACGGAAACCACTCATTAAGGGCATGTACTTACTGTACAAAGTCTATGGAGTGGAAAATAGGAGGACAGCCTTGGATTGGATGAAAAGGAGCTGGTGTTTAAAATAATCCGTTTGGGCGTGGAACCTCCGAAACATTCAGAGAAAATATTTTGTATGATTAATCCTCCAGAGGTAAGAGTCAATTTAATTGACATATCGGGATAGATTGCATCACTGTTTGTGATGTTTAGTGTTCCAAAGTGTGATGTCATACTGGCCAATTTGAATTGAATTGATTTATTTCCACATTTTGATTTAAAAAATTAAAAAAAATATTCACGATATACATGTTAATTATTCAACACATTAATTGTTGTACATGTAGTTGTAGTAAAATGCAGTGGCAAAGTGTGCTGTAGAATGTACAAATTGTTTTGTATGTTGTACTTTGCATTATTAGCCAAAAGTCCTTTCAAATTCCTTCGAAAAGTTTACTAGCGTGAATTGTTTTTGTTAGAGGATTTGAAAATTAATTGATTTTCACATTCCTTTACAATGTCTTCCATCTTCCTATAACTGTCTTCTTCTGTTAATTCTCCCAGGCAGCAAACCGGTCGTCTTCCTACAGCACGGCCTGTTGGCTGCTTCCACCAACTGGGTTGAGAATTCAGCCAGTGAGAGCCTTGGTTTCATCCTGGCCGATGCAGGCTATGATGTATGGATGGGTAACATGAGAGGAAACACCTACTCTAGAAGGCACGCAAGGTTGGATCCCAATAAGCGGCGGTACTGGCAGTTTAGGTTTGTAGGACTTCCACCTTATTCTTACATGATGTGGTAAACTACTTTTTTTTATATTGTAATGTAAAAGAATAAAGGTACATTGTGGCTATATATGCCAACAGTACAGAAGCATTTGCTGTAATGTACGATGTACTATACGATATTGTGGTCTAGTGGATAAGTGACCTGCCTATGAACGACATCATGTGCAAGGTTTGAATCCTTGCTGCAGCACTAGTGTCCTTTGACAAGTCATTAAACTACATTTGCCACTCTCCAACCAGGATTTATTAAAATGGAAATCTGAATACAATCTTCTTTGAATGTTTAAATGCCTTATCATGATAGCCAAGGTAATAAAATGATACTTTGTGAAATTCAATAGAGTATATTTGTATAGTAATATGGCTGTGCGTTTTAAAGTAAAGAAATAGTATCATTATGCTTATTATTACAATACTGGTAATTTTGTCGATATCTATTTTTCTATTAGCTGGGACCAGATGGCAAAATATGACATCCCTGCCATGCTAAATTTTGCCCTCAAGATGTCGGGTCAATCCACGCTGGACTACGTGGGTCACTCGCAGGGCACTCTGGTGGCCTTCACCGGATTCACCCTTGACCTTAACCTAGCCAAGAAGGTCAAGCACCTCTTTGCACTGGGCCCTGTTTATACTGTCCGAGACATTCATCTTGAATTCATCTTGAAGGATATCATTACCTCGAAGCTTGTGATGTGGCTAGCTGTAAGTAAACATCCGAAAAGCCGATGGTCTGAAAGGGTTGAAAATCGTTATATTTTTGTAATGTGCAGCCATACCTCTTCCTTTTGACAAAATTTTGTCCGTGGGCTTTAAAGGGAAAAGAGACTCCAATTTGTATGAGATGTCTGGCAACCAATCTTGATGGAAACTTTTGTCAGATTTGTGTGTTTTGTGATCTCCAGTCATCGACCTCGATGTTGGTGTCTATTTTGGGGATTCTGTTGGCTACACTCAAAAGTTGCGGTCAGGCGGAGGCAATAGGGACTTTTAGATTTGCGTGGACTGATACGTGGTACTTCCATTTACGGCAGTGCTTTAAAAGGACGTAGATCGTAGCATAGACCTATTGTCTTCGTGCAAATCTAAAAGTCCCTATTATGTATTCGGGTTGTCCGTACGTCCCGTTCTCTTAATCGCGTTCAATTGATGGATTCCTGCCAAACTTGTGAAAAGGCTGTTGTAGCAGCCTTTTCACACACAGCTAAAATTCTATAAACATGATTAATCAGCTGTACATACAACATCATTCACACACAGAAATTTCGGTGCGATTGTTAATCGTTTCGTGATTAACTACTGCTCGCGAAATGCGCAGTAGTGCCATTGCGCATTGAAGGTCAGGTCATATCAAACAAAGCACACGCTCCATCCAGTTTAAACAAGTTTAAACCGTTCACACACAAAATGTCAAGCTCTCTAGATACGAACTTCGTATCTGCAGCCTGCTTTGAGGGGCGTATGAATCGCGACTTCGTATCTATCCGAACATCGTATAAACGATGTTCACACAGGGAAATTTTCTTTAAATGTGTTTAAAACTGTTGAGTTAAACATGTTTATACTAATCATCTCTAGATACGATGAATTTTAGCCGTGTGTGAAAAGGCTGTTAGCTGTGTGTGAAAAGGCTGTAAGTTCATGTATGTATCTCGCAGAGCCAGTGAACTGACTAGGTTTAGGGGTCACGAGGTCATAGGTCACAGGGCTCATTATGTATGCAAAAATAGCTCGTGATCTCTCATTAGAACCGATGGACAGATTACCATCAAACTCAGGTCATGAATGTATCTTTCCAGAGCCAATGAACTGATTAGACTTTGGGGCATGAGGTCAAACGTCACAGGGCTCATTATGTATGCAAAAATAGCCCGTGATCGCATTATCATTGAAACCGATGGACGGATTACCCTCAAACTCAAGACATGTATGTATCCTGCAGAGCCAATGCACTGAGTAAATTTTGGGGTCATGAGGTCAAAGGTTATGGGGCTTATTATGTATGCAAAAATAGCTTGTGAATGCAATCTTATTAGAACTGACGGATGGATTACTATAAAAACACAGGACTTGTATGCCAATGAACTGATTAGATTTTAGGGTCAGTACCTAGGTCAAAGATCAAAGGGTCATAGGCTATATAACAAATAGCTTGTTATCACGATATTCTGAGAATCTGTTCATGGATTACAATGAATTTTAAATTTGAATTTGAAAAATTGCTTCTGTTTCGGTTTGTAAAATCGCTTTATGACGGAGGCATCATTTTCGACTGCGCGCAGTCGAAGGTCCATATAGTTGTCAGTGAATTATATGGTCTAAGTTACACTCTAAAGGTTCAAAACAGATGGGTGAAATGGTTGACTATTCCACGACAGGCTCCCAGATAAAGATAAAAGAGCAGTGCTATGCTTCAGATCAAACTGTGTTCAAGAAAATCAACACATTTTTTTGTCCTCCAAATTCGTTTCAGTCGCTCTTCATTCTAAGTTTTTGCACTGTTCCTGTGATAGCCCATGGTGTTTCTTTCATCTGCTTTTGTTTACTTCCATATAAACACATGAATATATTAGAGGATTCTTAGTACCTTTACTGGTAAAGACAACTTGTGTTTGTTTTCAAGGATATATTGTCAATAGTTGGTATCGATGAATTCCTGCCTAACTCCTACAATCAGTTTGGAGCCCGGACTCTGTGTGCCTGGCCCGAGACACGGCTCATCTGCGAGGCCGTCATGATGTTTCTCGGTGGCCATAGCGGGCATCACCTGAATGCATCGAGGCTGCAGGTCTACGTCTCCAACGAACCCGCTGGAACATCGCTACAGAACATGGAGCACTTCATCCAGGTTTGTGATATCATGAAATAGAAGAAATGATAATAATAACAGTTTAGTTCTTGTATAGCGCATAATACGTTGTGAAATAACATCTCTATACGCTTCCAAAGAGCTTTGGAAATTATTACCCTAGCTTTAGCTCCGGCAGCCGTTATCAGCATTTCAAGGAATAATCCTACCAGGTACCCATTCACCTCACCTGGGTTGAGTGTGGCAAATGTAGAGCAATGTCTTGCCAAAGGACATTAGTGCCGCGGCGGGACTCGAACCGCGGACCTTGTTATCGACAGTCCGGTGACGTATCCACTCGACCACAACACCTCTAGGTTGTAATACTACAGTCAAACCTGCTTTAGTGACCACCTGTCTACAAAGACCACATCCCTTGAAAATGGTTTCTCATTGAAACATGTACTAAAGGAACCTGTCTACAAAGACCACATCCCTTGAAAATGGTTTCTCATTGAAACATGTACTAAAGGAACCTGTCTACAAAGACCACATCCCTTGAAAATGGTTTCTCATTGAAACATGTACTAAAGGAACCTGTCTACAAAGACCACATCCCTTGAAAATGGTTTCTCATTGAAACATGTACTAAAGGAACCTGTCTACAAAGACCACATCCCTTGAAAATGGTTTCTCATTGAAACATGTACTAAAGGAACCTGTCTACAAAGACCACATCCCTTGAAAAATGGTTTCTCATTGAAACATGTACTAAAGGAACCTGTCTACAAAGACCACATCCCTTGAAAAATGGTTTCTCATTGAAACATGTACTAAAGGAACCTGTCTACAAAGACCACCTTTTGTGTTTCCCTTGAGCGGTCGCTATAGACAGGTTTGACTATAGTTGAGATAGTTATCAAGAACACAATGTTGATTGTTGTTGGGTTTTAAAGGCCCACTGCACTACTTGTAGCTACTTGCGCCCTCTATATAACAAACAATGCCTAATCGGTGACCATTGGTCCCCCATGATCCTCTTTTTCTTATGTTAACTGAGAGCTGAGTTGATGAGATAGCCACCTGTCCAGTGACCTTGCAGGGCGCTCTAATCCCTCCTGTAAGCTATGGCAGATAAGCTTTAAGGCTGTCCAATCTGAAAAGATTATTTCTGCCTAACGATGATGATAGCAATTGTGATAAAGCTGTCGAGGAGGATGGTTTGATGATGTCGAAGATGATGAAGATGGTATGGTGGTGGAAGTGATTGTGGTAAGATCATGATCATAATTATTGGAGGAGAAGGTGGAGGTAGAGCAGTAGGTTGATGATGATAATAATAATCTGGATTTATATACCACTGAATACCTAATACTGTCTCTAAGCGCTTTACATTATATTACTACCCAGATCATCGGATTCATTTACGCACAATGTGCACCATCTCCATTCCCTGGGGGTATTCCTACCATTGTCAATGTGAGGGTATATGCCAATTACTACACAAAGGTTTTTCGATGATAGTTACACTAATGATAGTATTGATAATCATATTGATAATGATGATAATAGGAATGATATTTTCAACGATAATTATAATAATATCAGTGAAAATTTTGATTGGTAGAAATAAGACTTACTATTCTATTGCAAGCATTTATCAAACCTTCATATTACTAACATGTTTATGCATCTGATTTTTTTATATTTTTAGATGGTGATAACTGGAAAATGTCAGATGTACGATTATGGAATGATTGGGAACTTTTTTCATTACCATCACGTAAGAACTATTAGTCTATTACACAGAATATTGAGTGAGCGATATGTATGTAATGTTTTCAAAAATGCAGCTGAATTCTGATTTAAGCATACCGAGTTCCAAATGATTGGCCTAAAGTCTCTTGGACACTAGGCTGAACGTTGGCAGTGTCATACAGGAAAATCTGAAGCATTGTTATTTACAATTTGACTACACCCTTTTGTAGCTTCAGTTTGTGTACAAATTTCTAAGAGCAGGACATACCCTTTTAATAACTCCGTCATAAAATGTTAATGCAGAGTTTAGCAAGACAATCTGTATAATTTTCTGTCATCATGGTTTAATTGCCAACTAACTTTTCTCTCTCTCTCTCTCTCTCTCTCTCTCTCTCCCCCCTCTCTCTCTCTCTCTCTCTCTCTCTCTCTCTCTTCTCTTTCTCTCTTTCTCTTTCTCTCTCTCTCTTCTCTCTTCTCTCTTCCTCTCTCTTCCTCTCTCTCTTCCTCTCTTCTATTTCTCTCTTTTTCTCTCTCTCCCTCTCTCTTCTCTCTCTCTCTCTCTCTTCTCTCTCTCTCCCCCTCTCTCTCTCTCTCTCTCTTTTCCTCTCTCTCTAGAACAAATTACCTCAAAAGATCATTCAAGTATAGAAACGCAAAGGCCTACAACACACTTCCTCCTCATATCATATCGTCCCCTAGTGTTAATACATTCAAATCTAAGATTGCAGAACTGTTACAGTAGCATAATTTAGTCCCTCCTCCTTATCTTGTTATAATTACTCGTTTTTTATGAAATGTTTTTTTTTTCTCCATTATTTTATATTACTTCTTTTTTTTCTTCAAAATGTATTTACTGTTGTTCATTTATGTATTTATGTTCTGTTTTGTTTATGTTATTGTTCCGGACCCCACGGAAGACCAGCTTTCCCATGTCGGGTTTGCTGAATGTGGGCTATCCACCGTGTTTTATGCATTTTTACTATGTTTTTATACGGAAATAAATACTACTTCTACTACTCTCTTTCTATTTTCTCTTTCTCTTTTTTTTCTTTCTCTCTGTCTCTCAGAGAAAACCACCAAAATACCATGTGGAGAACCTCAACGTGCCTGTCGCCCTATTCTGGGGGGACAACGACTCCCTAGCCAATCCCCAGGACGTGGGGAGGCTCATACCCCAGATACCTCATCTCATTTACAACAAGGAAATCAAGAACTTTGAGCACCTAGACTTCATCTGGGCCATGGATGCAAATAAGATTGTATACAACGATATCCTACTCATTATGAACGGGACAATACCTACTCATTAAAGGCTCGTTCAGATAGGTCAAAGATCAAAGGGTCATACGTGACTTTTGTATATGAAAAAATAGCTTGTAATCACGATATTCTGAGAACCCGTTAATGGATTACAATCAAACTTGAATCGAAAAATTTCTTCTGTTTTGGTTTGTAAAATCGCTCTATGACGGAAGCATTATTTTCGACTGCGCGCAGTCGAAGTTCCATCTGTTTTTTTTTCTTTGGTAATAACATGCATAAAATGAACTGTAAAGGTTCATGAGCATTCGTCTACATCAATAACCCACTTCTCGTAATGGCTAAATTTAAACTGATTGAATCTTTGCGCAGCACACAACGGATGACCATTCGGTACAATGGTCTGAAAATCAGACTATTACTAAAATGATTGCAATCACTAAAGTCGATTCAACAACTAATGCTCGTTATTTTGCGACGAAAAGACATTCTCAAGCCCTTTCGTTTTGAGGGAAGTTCTAAATTAGTATTATCTTTCAAGTGCCTTTGGAATTTATGCTTTTCATTTCATTTTTTGGCCTGCAAATGGGGCATTCATGTTTTAAAACAGTCCAGGAGAAAAAAAGGAAAAAATACCTGCCTTCATAGCGCTCATAAGTGTGATTAGATCACTGCAATAACATGCAATAATCATGGGCAAAAAATGTTAAGAATAGCTGTTGGAAAATGAATATAAACACAACAAAAAGAGCTCAAATCTTTTAACCTGCCCCCGTTTATGCACAATCTGCTGCAAATTACAGGGTGATATTTGCCCTCAAATATTTGTTTGCAGCTTTGTGTAAAGTCTGAGCCACAGGTTAACACCGAATGACTCTGTATTCTCTATATTGACTTATAATTTCTGTGGTTTATCACTTTAAAGTCTACTGTGTTTATTACCACAAGTGTTTTGGGAATGGATCCCAGGTCTGAAATGCATGCCAGTGAACTAGTGTACCCCCCCCCCCCGATTTCACTGCATGGTTTATGGCTTTTAAGCTTGCATTTTTTATTTATCATTTATAAAATTCTATAAACATGATTAGTTTATAGGGCTTTAAACTAATCACCTGAACATACGACATCATTCACACACAGAAATTTCGGAGCGATCGTTAATCGTTTCGTGATTAACTACTGCTCGTAAAATGCGCAGTAGTGCCATTGCGCATTGAAGGTCATGTCATAACAAATAAAGCGCACGCTCCATCCAGTTTAAACACGTCTGAAACACGTTTAAACACGAATAACCTTTCACACACAAAATGTCAAGCTCTCTAGATACGAACTTCGTATCTGCAGCCTGCTTTTAGGGGCGTATGCATCGCGACTTCGTATCTATCCCAACATCGTATAAACGATGTTCACACTGGGAAAAATTTCTATAAACATGTTTAAAACTGTTGAGTTAAACACGTTTATACTAATCATCTCTAGATACGATGAATGTTAGCTGTGTGTGCAGATAGGACTATAAAATTGTAGATCCACTGGAGCTTATTGTATTGGTTCCTTTTTATTTTATTGTGTGATTTTTAGGAATGACAATTTAGAAGTGAAAGGAAGCAAACTGCAGCTATGCATTATATGCTGTACAAATTTGTTATGACAATTATATTTAAATATTACTGAAATTATACTGATATAATCAGCGAATAGCGAACCTCATTTCGTATTATGAATAGCGACCCTCTTCTCCTATTATGAATAGCGACCCTCTTCTCCTTTTATGAATAGCGACCCTCTTCTCCTATTATGAATAGCGACCCTCTTCTCCTATTATGAATAGCGACCCTCATTTCCTATTATGAATAGCGACCCTCTTCTCCTATTATGAATAGCGACCCTCTTCTCCTATTATGAATAGCGACCCTCTTCTCCTATTATGAATAGCGAACCTCATTTCCTATTATGAATAGCGACCCTCTTCTCCTATTATGAATAGCGACCCTCTTCTCCTATTATGAATAGCGACCCTCATTTCGTATTATGAATAGCGACCCTCTTCCCGTGTTATGAAAAGCGACCCTTATAAGTAATGAACCTTATTTCGTATTATGAATAGCGACCCTCTCGTCGTATTATGAATAGCGACCCTGATTTCATATTATGAATAGCGGTCCTTATGATTAATGACCCTTAATATGAATTATGAATAGCGACCCTCATCTCACGTTATGAATAGCGGTCCTTATGATTAACGAACCTTATTTCTTTATGATAAGTGACCCTCTTTTGCCATTATGAATAGCGGACCCGGAAGTACGGGAATTTGCACGTTATGAATAGCGGTCCTTATGAATAGCGGACCTTATGAATAGCGGTCCTTATGAATAGCGAATAGACCCCGTTTAGGGTATATGCGGTTCATTTTTTCTTCAATTGTTGTATGGTGTGCCTCTGATCTGCCTACCTATTTCATGTTTATACCTGCATTTTATATTACATTTCTAGTCCTCAACCTCGTCTAAAACTCATTCCACTACATTTTCACTATAATACTTACTTCAACCTCGATATTTCTCATTTGTAATTCTTCCATTTTATAAAATTTCAACAATCATGCGATGAGATAAACACCAATGCTGCTCTTGTAACTAGAAAAATTTGTTTGATGTATCCATTCATGTATGAACAATAATTGTGTACTTTAAAGATTAAAGATTTATTTCCATTCTGCAATATGGTAGTACATAGGAATTAACTTTTTTTTCTCCATTAATCAAGAAACTTGCCTTGACGTCATGAAGCAACGTGACTCAGGGCATGTTTATGCTTAACTTTTTCTGGCCAGAATCAGGCATCTGTTACGCGATAAGTTTAAAACACGGTTACGTCCATGCTCACTTTTGTAGAATCACCGAAAAACGGCGATCACGATCGCCGATCGTAAACTCACAAAAAGATGCGTTTACAATTTGTAAACGCGTTTAAATGGGGTCAACGCACTGACCTCTAGTGGGTCTACGTAGCATGCACAGTGAAGGTTTGCGAATCCAGCTGGAAGACCAATTAAGGCCACACAGGGAGAATTGCCTGGAGGAGCCTGAGAAGTGAGCATAAACAGTACACCGTGGAACTGCGATTACGATAAGCGTGTACGATGAGCGTTACAAATCGCTCATTCTGCCATCAAAATTTAAGCTTAAACGCACCTTCAATGATATTTGCAGTTCTGCCTTATATTCCTCATGAATGTGAAAAGTGATAAATCAAAATCTCAGAACAATAATGTATAACAAATACATGAAAAGTGAAAATACATCTTTATACCTCTATCATAAAGTTGTTCATGTGCTTTATTTCATCTCTTTAGCTGACTAAAATTATGAATATGACATAGATAATTTTTTGGGGGTATTTTTTTTTTTTTTATCTGACTAAAATTGAGATTTGAGAACATCTGTTGCTGGGGGGTTAAAATCCCATGAGAGCCCATGCTCTTGTGTCATTAATTTCAAGATCAGTATGTAATGATAACAATACTTGATAAAATAATGAATAATAATGATAATGATGATGTCGTTTACCCAGGGTAGCGTCATTGGTATAAATACAACTCTCCCTGAGGGCCCTGCACTCATATATTATCAGTACATGAATTGTGTTGGGCGTCTTGTATAGAGTACCGAAGTGCTACCATCATATTCGCTCGTCATCCAGGTAACTGGTTCCAAACAGAGCCTGCGCATGATGTTCTCAACAAAATCATTCAATCAACGGACTGGGCAGGGCAAATTCAGTGTTTGGGGCTGGTGAGATCGCCACACCATTGTTAAGCACAACATTGTTTGGGGCCATCAATCTCGACAGCTTGGCCAGTATGACGTCACACTTCAGTATACTCTCTATCAATCTTGGTAATCAAATGAAAGCTGGAGGACATGGTAAAACAAGACTTGTTCCTTCCTTTACTATTATCTCTCTCTCACTCCCAGAAAACACTAGTGCCCATAAGACCGTATGGAGCCCCATCAATACAATACTCTCTTCGTAAGTATTTGGAGTATTTTTCCTAAAAACTAAGACATTAGTATACATGCACTTTTTCACAGGTTTCACGACAAACCGCTGCACAATACCGTGAAGTTAGCGACTGTAACGATCATCATCAATTCATAATGTGAATTATTTGCACGAATTTAATGAGGATCTGAGATTACAGTCGCTTACTTCACGGGGGGGGGGGGGGTAAAGAGCACCATTTTGTTTCTATTTCTTTCAAAGGTAAAATTGTGGTTAACATCTTTTTTTTTTCGTCTTTTTATTTGCCAGGAGCGGAGGCCCGTCTTTTTTAAACTTTTGTTTTGCCAATGAAGGGGCCGGGCAACGCCCCCCCCCCCCCCATGGATCCGCGCCTGTTGTGTACAACTTTAAATTTTAGTAGTATACGTCACATTTGTTTCTTTTTTTTCCTCCTTATTCTTCACCTCTCATTTTTTTTCTAGCAAGAAAGTGTGCAAATGATTATAACCATACATTCTTGAGCTGGAGCGACTGATGTGTACAGATTGTTTATGTAAACTTGTTTAAAGAAAAAAGAATAAATTACGATGTTGAGCCATTTTTTTCTCCTCCGTACTCATCTAGACTCCAGTTGTTCATTTGTTATGATTGTACTGCTGTTATACAAATAACTCTCACACACACACCTAATAAAGTCCCAAAAGCTAATCAAGGAATGATCTCTTTTTTTGGGGGGGGGTAAAATATCTGTGTTAAAGGGGTATGTTTCCCGTATTAATCCAGAGGGCGTTCAAAATACGTACGCGCTGGCGGACGGTAAAAAAGAATACGGCTCTTACGCAGATGGCATGTTCCGATAACTACACTGGCGGGAACGTGCCCCTAGGCGCGGATCCAGGGGGGCCGAGTGGGCCTTTGCCCCCCCCCTCCCCCCTCCCCCCCCCCCCGCAAAAAAAAAGAGAGAGAGAGAGAGAGAGAGAGAGAGAGAGAGAGAGAGAGAAGGGAAAGAAGCGAAAGAGGAGAGGAAGAAGAAAATAAAAGGGGGAAAAAGAAGGAGATCGGGGGGGGCGAAAGGGCCTTGCCTCCCAGCTGTTACCTCCCCCCCCCCCCTCCCATCAAAAAAATAAGAGAGAAGGAAGGAAAGTGAAAGAAAAAAGGAAAATAGGAGATAAAGGGAAGGAAAAAGAGGAAGAAACAAAACAGAAAAGAAGGGGGATATCAGTTGCAATTTTCCCGCCAACAAGTTGTAATTCGTAGGCCCTTGCCTCCCCCTCCACCCCCCCCCCCCCCAAAAAAAAGAGAAGGAAGGTAAAGGGAAAGAGGAGAGCTAAAAGGGAACAAAAAAGAGGTAGAAGAAAAGAAAAGGGTGAAAAAAGAGGAGAACAGTTGCGATTAATCCCGCCAACAACGTGTGGATCGAGGGGGGGGGCGAAAGGCCCTTGTTTCCCCCAGCAAACCTAAACCAGAGAGAAGGAAGGGGAAGGAAAGGAAAAGAGGAGAGAAAGGGAAAAAAAGAGAAAGAAGAAAGGTAGGGGAGATCAATTACGATTTTTCCCCGCCAACAAGGTGTAGATCGTGGGGGCACTGGCGTACTGATGGGGGGGGGGGGGAGGGGACTTGGGAGGGGGTGACAGATGTCCCTAAAATATATTTCAAACGTGGTTTATTTCTAATTCGATACCGACGATTTTCAAATGTTGCTGAAATTACATAATTTTCCGAGATTTTTCCTCAATGTTTAGTAATATAGAGTCTACTTTTGTATGCGTTTGTTGGAAAATGGCGAATTCATAAAGAAAGAAAGAATAGTGACCAGCCTTTGTCACAAAAAATAAGGTGTCAAACATTGCTCATGTGACCGTGATTAAATGCCTAAAACCCGTAAGCTTCCGGGGGCTCTGCCCCCTGGTTTCCACCTAGGGCCCTAAAGCGTTCACCTGGATGCTCATCTGAAGGTAATTTAATGCCTAAAACCCCTTAGCTCCAGGGGGTTCCGCCCCCTGGACCCTACACCAAATAGTGACCTGCAAGTGTCACAAATAAGGTATCAAAATATGCTCATCTGACCTTTATTAAATGCCTAAAACCCCTGAGCTCGGGGCTCCGCCCCTCGACCCCACCAGGGGCCCTAAGTCGGGCCCCTGCATGCTTATCTGACCGTTATAAAATGCCTAAAACCCTTGAGCTTCTGGGGGCTCCGCCTCGTGGACCCCACACAAATTCGGAACCTGCCAGTGTCACAAATAAGGTATAAAAATATGCTCATCTGACGGTAATTTAATGCATAAAACCCCTGAGCTTCTGGGGGCTCTACCCCCTGGACCCCACAGCAATTCGTGACCTGTCAGTGTCACAAATAAGGTATTAAAATATGCTCATCTGACCGTAATTAAATGCCTATAACCCCTGAGCTTCTGAGGGCTCCGCCCCTGGACCCCACACCGATTTGCGTCCTGCCAGTGTCACAAATAAGGTATACAAATATGCTCATCTGACCGTAATTAAATGCCTATACTGCCTGAGCTTCTGGAGCTCCACCCGCATGGACCCCCTGCCAATAATTAGTGTCTTGCCAGTGTCACAAATAAGGTATACAAATATGCTCAACTGCCCGTAATTATTGCCCAAAGCCCCCCCCCCCCCAGCTTCTGGGGGCTCTGCCCCCTGGACCCCACACCAATTTGTGTCCTGCCAGTGTCACAAATAAGGTATCATTATGCTTATCTAACCGTAATTAAATGCCTAAACCCCTGAGCTTCCGGAACTCTGCCCCTAAACCCAACCAATAGCCCTAAGGCGGGCCCCTGGATGGTCATCCGACTGTAATCTATTGGCTGCAACCTCTGAGCCTAAGGGGGCTCAAATTCCTAGACCCCACGCCAATTCGTGACCTGCCAGTGTCACAAAAAAGGTATAAAAATATGCTCATCTGACGGTAATTAAATGCATAAAACGCCTGAGCTTCTGGGGGCTACGCCCCCTAGACCCCACTCCAATTTGTGTCCTGCCAGTGTAAAAAATAAGGTATGAAAATATGCTCATCTGACCGTGATTAAATGCCTATACCCCCTGAGCCTAAGGGGCTCCGATCCCTCGACCCCACACCAATTTGTATCCTGCCAGTGTCAAAAATAAGGTATCAAAATATGCTCATCTGACGATAATTAAATGCATAAAACCCCTGAGCTTCTGGGGGCTCCGCCTCCTGGACATCACGCCAACTTGTCAGTGTCACAAATAAGGTATCAAAATATGCTCATCTGGCGGTAATTTAATGTATAAAACCCCTGAGCTTTTGGGGGCTCCGCTCCCTGGACCCCAGACCAATTTATGTCCTGCCAGTGTCCCAAATAAGGTTTACAAATATGCTCATCTGACTGTAATTATTACCCAAAGTCCCTGAGCTTCCGGGGGCTCCGCCAATTAGTGTCCTGCCAATGTCATAAATGAGGTATCAAAAGAGGCTTATCTGACCGTAATTTATTACCCAAAACCTCCGAGCTTCCGGGGGCTCAGCCCCCTGGACCCCACGCGAATTCGTGACCTGTCAGTGTCACAAATAAAGTATCAAAATATGCTCATCTGACGGTAATCTAATCTTAAAAAACCTAAACCCCACGCCAATTTACGCAACGCTCTACCTGATAGTAAATACCTACCCCCCCCCCCCCCCACCTACTTAGAGAAACGTTCAGCGGGGCCTGCATGTAAGAGTGGGAGTGATGTGGATCTTTTTTGTCTACCCCCTACCCCCCCCCCCCCCCCCGTCCCCAAACGTTTGTGCTCATTTCGCCACTGCCGGTTTCACCATTACGTACCAATATTTGGCTCGCATGATTTCAAATTTGCCCCCCCCCCCTACGTGCCTACGTGCCCCTTTAACAAAACAGAACTTCATGTAATGTACGTTCACTTATTTTATTATTATAACTATTAACATTTAGTGCATTGAACTGAACTCTCTCCTTTAGGTGTAAATCATCAAGGTCATAGAGACTGACCACCACCTTATTTCTCCTATAATCAACACTCGCTACATACACCCTGTCCTGCTGATCCACGGCAGCATACAGGTAGATACGGTCTGGAGCTTGTAGAGACTCACCAGCAGGGGGGGGGGGGGGGGAAGTTGACCAGTATTTCTGACATCAGTGGTCAATTTAAACAGATACTTGTATGCATTGAAGAAGCATTCAAAAAAATTTCCTTTCGTAAAACAGCTGAAGTTGACTCACACCGAATTACCTTTCACTCCCTTCTTAAAGGTAATAAAAAGTTTTGGGAAATTGTGAAAATTGGGTGGATAGTGATTCTTTACAATGTTTGAATATTTGGATGCCCCTGTGGATGTATTACAAGCACTAGAAAATTTAGCCCTTTAAACACTTCTGCTTTCGAGAAAAATTGATATAAAAATTTACCGGTGCTCCTGGTAAATTTCAATAATTTTCAAATAGCGCCTACGGCCATACAATGGTAGCTGTGACCATGAAAATCTCAGAATATGTAGTTGTGATAAATAATTTCCAAACGGGAATAGCCAATCGGTTGATTTTAGTCAAGAAACATTGTTTTATAGCTAAATTAATATCTTGACCTTGAGAGGGAGCTATACAACTAAAAGAGTTTATTAGCTACAATTTCATCACTTTAGACTCGATTTCAACCGCGACAACGATCACTGAATAATGTAGAATCGCATGTGCTTCCAATATGTTCATTTTAATCAAATTCATGACTCCATACCAAAACTTTGTATTATCTTTAAATACTGCTTTCTATTTTTCTGATCGTGGAAACGTTGGAGAGAGAGAGAGAGAGAGAGAGAGGGACGGATAGATGAAGTATATGTATCCTCCCCCTCCCCCTATGAGGTATGTAGGTGCAGAAAAGAGAATGGATAAAATAAGGAGGAGAAAGTACATGTAGATCAGAAAGAGAGGAAAGGAAAGAAAATAAGGTACATCGAAGAGATGGGGTTGAGGGAAGACGTCGGAGAGGGACAAGGGGACAAAGAGAGATGGAAGAAAAGTACTAGTAGTTTGGAGGCAGTATCTTAGAGGAAAAGTCCACCCTGATATTATGTTGGTTTCAATAGAATCAGAACATGAGAGAAACAGGTCTTTTTAAAGGTTTTATCAATATTCTTTATTGATTCCATTCAATGCATAAATCATACATAAACAATTCATTTTGAACACAATAACCAAGAAACAGAACAGAAATAAAATAGTTGCATGTTTTTTTCCGCTATGACAATGCTCATTACCTACATAAACATTCCACGTTGGCTATATATTATGTATACACTGATTGTACTGATCTTTGAATAAAATCTATTAAAATTACAACACCCTCACAATCCACATACACACAGAACAAAACAAAAAGAGAGAGAAGTTGAAATGTTCCCATTTTGTCCCGACCCCCAACATAAAAAAATATTCTATGTGGGCATGCCTTGAACCATAATGCATGGCCCTACAGAGGAATTTGTCCTGTTGGGGACTGGGGGAATATGCAATGAATTAATTAAAAAAAATATTGAATTTTCTGTTTTGTTTTGTTTTTTATGTGGGGGCATCAACGTACCCTAGCGTCCGCTGCGTACAGTCATGATTTATTGGCTAAGCAATGGCCTCCTTACTGTGAGCCCTCAGGATCAAAACCGTGTCGATGTGCTATATTAGTGCCCTTTTATGAGGTATTAATCCCCATTACTGTCAGTTATGACTTAAAGACGTAGGTCCCCTAGTTGATTAGCATAGTAGCACACATATGGTTTAAACAGTCACGCAAAAAAACTCTCCTCAATTGTCATTCAATAAAATCTGAGAATATATACTATTATCTAGATCTATTAGGAATAAATCATTGTCAAAATCATTCAATAAATTGGGGTAAAAATAATTATTCCACCATTATGACCAACAGTGTATATGAGCGACAGTGTAGTTTATGTATATTTTACGTATTAACACAATATTTCGAGAGGGGGACTTTTTCATTATTTTTTGATAATGACAAACTGTATACATGCAATTAAAATATATCGAAAGAATAAGAATCATATCATACGTTAAGTTATTACATAACAAGCAATAGAATATGGCACATAGGCTGATATTAGGGTAGAGCTGGAGGAGAGAGGTATACACACCAATAAAAACGGTAATATAGAGTTTGAGATGGATTACAGTGATACCTTGATAAAATACAACTTCCTGGAAGAAGCAAACGCGAGCATGTCTGGAGAGAGGGAAACAAAGCAACTATAATGACTACCATGTTTCAGATTTAGTGCATTGAACTCAACTCTCTCCTTTAGGTGCAAATCATCAAGGTCATAGAGACTGATCGCTACCTTATTTCTCCAACGATTAACACTCGCTACATACACCCTGTCCTGCTTATCCACGGCAGCAAACAGGTTGACATCGTCGTCTGGATCTTGTAGAGACTCACCAGCATTCCCATCCCTGTCATAGACCGTCACCACGCCTGGACCGTGATGAGCTGAACTCGTGACGATCAAACCCCACCTGGTAGCAGATACCTGACTCACCTGGTTGTGTTTTGTTGGAACAGTGTGTTTGAGAGTGGATCCAGTCGGGTTATAGATATAGACTTTCTTCTCACCGTTAACCAAGAGGATTTCATTTGATGGACTTCTGTTTAGTTGGACAGTTTCGCCACTGTTATTAAAATGGATGTTTGATTTCCTGGATCCATTGGGAGAATATATTCGTACTTCATCGCTACCCATCGATCCTTTCATCGATATACATAACGACCTGTCTTGTTGAAACACAAGATCATAACACGTCATACTTGGTATGTTTGTATACTGCTCCTGTTTACCAGCTGAATCTACGATATATATACCAGGTTTATCCGAATATCCGATGGCTACACTGTCCTCAGAGTACGGGGTCATACCCTCTATCATTGTCGGTAGATCTACGCACTGAATGACTTGCAACTTAGGATGTGATTTCTTCGTAATGGCTGCAGCAGAAGTACTGTGATCGGTAGCTGATTCTGAGAAGCTCCCGAGTTCGAGACGAGTATGATCTGTAGGCTTGCACTTCTTCTCCTGTGCTATCTTCGTAATGGTTGCAGCAGAAGTGTGATCAGTAGCTGATTCCGAGATGCTCCCGAGTTCGAGACGAGTATCATCTGCAGGCTTGAACCTATTCTCCTGTGCTTTCTTCGTAATGGCTGCCGCAGAAGTGTGATCAGTAGCCTCCTTCAGCATGGCATCCAGCTCCTCACAGAGCAAGGCATGAGCAGACAGACTGCCTGTCTCAAGAAGACCCAGTCTGTCATTAGATACCAGTGTTATTGAACTACAAATACTCTTGATCCTCTGTCGATCCTTGGATTTAAAGACATTGAGGTCGTCATCGAAACTCCGCTTTACTGCATTGATTTGCTCGATGAGATTTCGATGATTTTCTTCAAGCTCTTTGGCCTTGATGCTGTAGGCTTGACTGACATCGTCCAGTAGTTTCTGCAAGGCAGTGTATACTTCATGGCGTTGTACTTCAATATTCTGAATGTTCTTCTCCAGTTCTGTCTTCTTAGCGACACATCGCTGGACAAGGTCGTTCACCTAAACAAAACGAATAAAAGAGAAGTGAAAAGAACTTCTAGCATGAGATGTATGCTAATTACATTGAGCTGGTTTGAACATGAAACACGAATTTTGCACGCGCCTAAAGTTTCACAAAAGTAAGACCCCTTATCTAAAAGATTTTCGTGGATTTTGTTTTTCATTTCCGAAAATGGTGTAGCTACAAAGTAATCTGGATAATCTGGGGACGTTCCCCGTTCACCCATTAAATAGTAAACTACAAAAATGGAGGAGGTAACAAAGAGACAGAGAGATTGAGAGAAACAGAAAAACAGGGAGAGAAGAAAGAAATATTTGAATAGAGTGCTCCGCTTTTATCAAGCCTTCATTTTTGCTGCTACATGTACCTTGTTTGGCGTTCAACAATAGGGACTTTTCGTTTTACACGACGAGAACATGGAATGCCGCGTGTGGCCAGTGGCTGATTCAAGGGGGGCACAGGGGGCACGTGCCCCCCAGCCCCCCCCCAAAAAAAACGTTAAAATCAGCCCCAAATTCGCCAAAAATGAAGTGGCAAACAAGGACGTGCCCCCCCCCCCCCGGCCAAAAAAAAAATGTGCTCTTACCCCCCCCCCCCCCCCCCCCCCCGCTTATTCAGCGGCTGGCTGAGTAGTTGCGATTTTTGGGGGACCCCCATGTGCCCCCCAGGAAAAAAATTCCTGGATCCGCCCCTGGTGCCATTGTGTTAAGGCACTGGACTGTGCCCGGCAGTGCCTTAAAAGGCGTCACTTTACCTTAAAAAGATGTCACACGTGGCGGTCCACGTTCTCGTCGTGTAAAACGAAAAGTCCCTAGAGGTGTACAGGAGATCTGTAGAATTTCGCAACTTTAGCACGCATAAAGCTTGTTATTGACAAGATGAGCTCTGATTGGCTGTATGCAAATAAGTTCATACTGGGGGTCCCGAGCTCAAGTGGGAAAAAATTACGCTGCCGGGCTCACGATCAATTGGGCAAAAAGAATTTCCATTTTCGGTTTAAATTAATAACATTTGCAGTGGACTTTAAAAGATTATTATTATTATTATTATTTTGGGGAGATCCTACACAATTATTTTGTATTTTTATTTATATTAAATGCTTTGTATATTCGATTTTAAATGGTTGAAAAAATGAGCTGAACTGAACTGAATTGAAATGGATATGATGATACCATGTACCCCTTCGAAGCTTCCAGGCGTGCCCGAATCGCTCCAACTTAATGGGGGTGGGGCAAACTTCTCGAAAGCGGCCTAAGTTAAATCAGTGGCCTAAACCTGGTTTAAACCATGGACTATCTTTTTTGCTATTCTCGAAGGTGGCCTAAAGATAAGCCAGGCTTAAATACGTCATAGTTCGGCCTAACTTTAGGCCGCTCAGAGGGCAGGTTTAAATACGTCATAGTTCGGCCTAACTTCGCGTGACGTCACTTTTTAGTTAAATCGACTGTCCGCGGAGAGTGAACGGTAAGTTTTGCATTTTAATTTTTCTATATTTGATAACAATTTACACTCTTTTGAATGGATAAGCGCTCATGAAAGTTACACCAGCTAATAAAGTATTTTTGTTACTTTCATGTTGCTGTACTGGTGATAATCTAAAATGCTTTTAACTGAATAAATTTGGGGGAAACTTGGTAAATGTTCACAGTGTTCGCAGAGCAGTCCCATACGTGCAAATAATTGTCGGTTAACATTTTCATTTCCTGAGATTGAGCAATTTCTTACCGGGTAATTTTTTTCTTGGCACTATTGTACTTTCGTACGCTTATACCACCTTAACATCACCTTAAAACTATCATTGCTAGACGTAGAAACTACTTTTATAGTGGATTTTCGAGACGCTGATGCCTAAAAGTGGACTAGCACTAGGCCTAAATATAGATCTAGCTGTCTCTTTCGTTCGTTAGCCTCTGATTTGGTCGGCTCCTCTCTTTCAGGAGCCGACCCTACCCAAATCAGAGGCTAACGAACGAAAGAGACAGAAATTTCGGTCTGGTATCACCTCTGCCTCAGCTGCAGTGCTAGTTGTGGCTGTTGGTGCGATCATTTCCTACAGGATGATGATGATTTTCATAACCACCCCCAAGAAAACATTATAAAAAAAATGTTAGGCCTACTACTACTACTAGACCTAGACCTCTAGCCGGCTCTAGACTGGATCTTAATTTCATCAATAAGAGTCTAGTCTAGACAGGTCTAATACAAATTGAAAGGAAATGGACAGAAGCTTCCTTTTTTTGACATAGGTCTACATTTGCTGATAATGTTACAGTAGTTTAGGCTTATAGATCTAATACTTGTTAGTAAACTAGACGTCTACAGAGAAATTGTAATTTCTTATCAAATATCAACATATTTTTTCATCTTGATTTTCTGCTATTTCAGGTTCTTTTCAATTGATGCATGGGGATGGAGAAAAAAATGCCTCTCCCAAGCTATGGTGTCCCGCCTTGTGAAGTCCATCTCAATAGCCATTGCCAGGAGATGGGAGCAATACATCACAATTCCTTCAGCAAGAGAGGCAGTCCTGCAGAGTGCAGACCCAACATGAATTGTATGATTACTGCCATTTCCCTGGCGTTAATATGGTCGGTGCTATTGATTGCACCCACATAGGCATCTCCAAGCCAGTTGGCCTAACACCAGTTATTTCCTGAACAGGATAAAAATAGATACTCCATTTTTCTTGGAAAGTCTGCTGGTGAGTAAAGCTGTAATTATGCCTAAATTTTGTAAACTAAATCATGTTTATACAATTTGTATTAAAAAGATCTGCTGAATTTATGAATCTGCAGATGTGTCTACAGGTACATTATGAAGTGATTTAAAATTGTTTTGTCTGATAAATGTAGGTGCAACCTACACTCAAACTTTTATTCATTTTACATGGGCACGAGCTAATATTTCAGCTCGATTGCCATGGCTACCAGTCATTCCTGACAGTGACAGCTTGGCCTAGACTTTTGGGCGGAACTATCTGAAAATAAGACACAAATAATCAACAGTTGATTAACTACTTTCAAATTTGGGTCAGAAGAAAATTCAAACCTACCACTAACAATTCTGGAACAAATAAGACTTAGAGACCTACAGACTACAGTACAGTGCAGTAAATTTTACTTTTACTTTTTCCCCTTTCACGAAGCTCATTTTGGGAGAAAACATAAACAAAGACAATCTTTGGTCTAATGTTAGATTGAACTGAAATGGAAAAGTTGGGCTTTAACGATTAGGGCCTTGTAAAATCTCCATTCCAGGCTGCGTTTACATCTAGGTTAGGCCAACTGTCGGCTCGTTATCTAAGTAAGATGTAGACTTGATTTCAGGAAAGGGACTAACTTCGCTATAGACTTTAACTACTTAGGGCTTTCTTAGGCCATGACACGGCAAGTACAACTTGGTGCAAGCACATTTATGAGATAGTACTGCAAGAATGTGTATGTTTGTTCTTGACTTTAAAAGAGATACCGGTAGTCATTCTGTAAATCAATGATTACTAGTAACTGAGTGGGCAGGGGGTGCCTAGTCACTGCCTACATGAAAGTCGCCTTAAGTTTTTTTTTAAAGTTTGATTTGATTTGATTTGATTTGATTTATTTATTTCTGTTTGATTTTCTTTTTCTTTTGCATTTTTACAAATATATAACAAACAAATATTGCAAATTTACACATGACAAAAGAATATATGTAGAATAAAGTAAGGCTGGGTGAAACTAGTTAGAACGTTATTGACACTATAACTAAGACCAATTATCAATGGAGTAGATCTTTGATATTTTAATGAGGTCTAAACCTTTTTATTTTTGTTTCAGGATGATATTTTTCTTCAGTAAAATAAATGAAGGCAAATTCCCTGATAACTGAGACAAATTCAGAGAGAGGAAGGAGAACTACTGAGCTGCTGAATTTCTGACAGGTAGGCTGTACGAATAAGTTGTTGTTTGTATGCCCAGGTACTTAAAGGATGGCATTTGTTCATTCACATTTTTCCTTCAATACTTTCATGTAATTGATTAATATGCACTCCACTTTTACCACAATGTACATGCAAGACCTTTTTAATGTTTAACAGAAATAGGTTTCAATGTGCTTCCTTTCATTCTTTTCTCTTTTCATTCAACAGACATACTTGCAAGGACTATGAAGTTCTACTTAGCCTCTTCAATGAACCAGACTCCATCTGCTGTAACTGTGACTGCATGGGGATCAAAACCTGTGTATTATAATCCTCATAACATGAAGCTATGGTAACAAACAAGCAACCATTGATAAAAAGCCTGATATGTCCTTGTTGTGTGCGTGAACCACAAAGCAACCATCACTCATAAGGATGTTTTTATGTACATCAGATGTTCATTGTTTCACTGGAAAAATTGTGATTTTGAATCATTTAAGAAATCACGTTTTATAATGCGTTTTATAATATAGTGCAAGTCATGATATAACAGATTCCCTGCAAAAGAAACACGGCTCAAAAGTAGACTAAGCTTTGTTTTAAAAAAATGGGAGAAATTAGTGTAACAAATACATAACATTTAATTCTAATAGTTTCAAGTAGCAGATTATGAGGCTATTGGAGCTTAATATTTGACCTTCAATTTTATAATCGTATTCATCGTGAATTACAATATTTTCTGTTTTAAGAAAAATAAATAAATTGAACATAATTGTTGATATGTTATATACAATATTCTTTTCATATCTTATGATTTTAAGTGTGCATACTGTTGGGTTCATTGAATTATACATGGAAAAAGTCTTGAAATAGAACAGTGAGAGAACAGAGAGCGAGCGAGAGAGAGAGAGAGATAGAGTAAAAGAGAAAGGGAACCAAATGAGAAAGAACAATGTAATGGTGAGAGAAATAAACAATGATGTGAGATAGTGTGTGTGTGTGTGTGTGTGTGAGAGAGAGAGAGATGGAGATAGGAAGAAAGAGTGGGGGGGGGTACAGTGCCCCCTTTTTCAAATGCCCCTTTTTATATAGGAAAGTTCCCTTTTAACTTTGTAAGAAGTGCCCCTTTTTCCATAGGTAAAGTGCCCCTTCCCCTTTTCACCTCTGATAAGTGCTCCTTTAATTTTGACACGGGCCCCTTTTCCTTTGACAAGTTTCCATTTCCTTTGCAATAAGTGCCCCTTTTCACTTTTGAGAAGTGCCCCTTCACCTCTGATAATTGCCCTATTTAAATCTGAGAGGTGCCCCTATTAACAAAATTATCGGTGCCCCTTTTCTTTCAACAAATGCACATTTCCTTTATTATAAGTGCCTCTTTTTCATTCTCTTAAGTGCCCCTTTTAAAATATGTTCAATGCCCCTTTTCAGGTGCGATATGTGACCCTTTTCACCTCTGATAATTTCCCTTTTAACAATGATACTATTCCAGCAAGTGCCCTTTTTGTTGGTGCTGCCCCCCGCTTTGGAATTCGCTCCGCCGTCCCTGGACGTCATATTGCTCAAGTTGTCGAGGTGATGCATCCTCTCCACACTGCGCGCATCCATTGTCTTAGCCCATTGTCTTAGTGCATTGTGACGTCATATTGCTCAAGTTGTCGAGGTGATGCATCCTCTCCACACTGCGCGCATCCATTGTCTTAGTGCATTGTGACGTCGCAGCTTCGGTACTGAGCATGTGCAGAAACCGTAACCATGGTGAATAATCCATGGACTAAGTTAGGCCAGGTTTAAACCATGGATCAGTTAGGCCACCTTTCGAGAAATGAAAATGACTTAGGTCAGCGGCCTAAGTTAAGCCTGGCCTAACTAAACCACGGTTTAACTTAGGCCAGGTTTAACTTAGGCCGCTTTCGAGAATACCACCCTCCGTTTCTACGGGCCAGGAACAATTTTGCCACACCCCCGATAGAGAGAATAATATGCCCCTCTCTTTTAGTACCTCTAGGAGGTACCCTTTATACCCTTTATACCCGTAAGGGAGGGTAGCGACCAATAACTGATAAAAATTGGGGTTTTGTAATGGTTAAACTTTACATTTTAAAAGATTTATCTGCTGATTGAGCTTAACTGCAATGTTTGTGATTGTCAAGGGGGGGGGTCTAATTTTGCCCCAACACTCTGCTTGCGGTGTCTGTATTGAAGGCAGGTATACAAACATAATACATACCGGGTCTATCTATTTTTAAGGGAGCATAGTGAACGAGTGGGAAAATTTGATTTTAGGATGCTGACAATTTACATTTCAGAGCACTTGAAAGCTTATTATAATGCAAAGGAAATACATGCAATTTCCCTTTTTTTTCTTCCGAGGGGCCTAAGGGGGGGGGGGGGTGAAATCAATTGTGTCCCCCATTTGAATCAATGCGGGGGGCATCAGCTCTCTCTCCCCCCCCCCTCCCTTCCATCCCCGCTATCGGTGCTCATGGTACATTCCCACATCTGACTTGTACAAGTACAACATTAGTAGCCAAACGCAAGCGCTTTCTGTCAGATGAATACACTTACCTTAAGCCGTAACTGCTGCTCGAAGTCAGCCTGATTCTTGATGTTATGATTTTGATGACCGACGATCACGCACTTGAGACAGACATGGACCTTACAGTCCTCACAAAACATATCATTGTTCTCTTGTTTGTGGATGCAGCACTTCTCAGATAGATGACCAATACTGACTTTCCCTATGTTGATATCCTGTATGGAAACAATCTCGTGACCTTCAAAGACTGTAAGATGTTGATGACAATCCAGACACTTATCACAAATGTAGTTATTACATGTACAGCAGAATGAGACAGCATCTTGCTGACACTTACAAGCAGTGCATTTTGGACGCATCTCAAGGACAGCGTTCACCCCTCCACTCTTGGCGTGGTAATCGTCTACCAGTGCGTTGACAGTCACATTGGTGAGGAAATCATCGACACGGTTCGCAGACAACTTGGTGATCTTCCTGCAGAGAGGACAGATCATGTGATCGAGATCTTGGTGGGACAGGTCACAGTTCTTGAGACATTTCCGACAGAAGGTGTGTCCGCATGAAGTCAGGATGGTTGCCTCGTCGAAGATACCAAGACATAGTGGACACGTCAGATTCTTTGAAGAGCTTGGAGCTTTCTCTTCCTCAGTCTTCGCAGCCATTGCTACAAATATTGGATTTCTGACTATAATCACATACAGGAGCTCATTCTACGCCTAAATCCAATGTCTAATAACACTTGAAAGTGTGATCAGCTGATGTTTACTTATAGGAGCCAAAAGTCCGTTTTATGCAAGCACAAACTATATGCAGTGATGTAGTAGATTGTACCAATATCCTGGGTCCTAAGAGCACATTTGTTTTAATTTTTTTTCGCTTCGACTCATCCAGCCGCTGAATAAGCGGTGGGGGGGGGGGGGGGGGGGGGGGGGGGGGGGGGGGGGGGGGGGGGGGGGAGTAAGAGCACGTTTTTTTTTTTTTTTTTTTTTTTTTTTTTTTTTTGGGGGGGGGGGGGGGGGGGTCCCGAATATTTGAAAATAGCGCCGGCCGCGAATTCGCTCAGTGGGAGGGGGGGGGGTGTGTACACTAATTTTATTTTATTTTTGGCCGGGAGACACGTCCCTGTTTTCCAGTACATTTTTGGCGAATTTTTGGCTGATTTTAAGACATTATTTTTTGGCCTGGGGGCACGTGCCCCTTGTGCCCCCCCCCCCCCCGGATCCGTCCCTGCTTAAGTAGATCGTCTGCGAGTATAATACAGGAAGTAGTGCATCCATAGAAGTGGGTTTTCCCACAGAGAGCGCGTGCAGCTTATATAAGCACCTTTGAACTTATTTGCGGTATTCATCCTTTTCATCTATAGAGGGCGACTTGTTTAGGTTTTCACAGGGGGGCTCAAACTCCGCTTCTGCATTAGCCTCTTGTCGATGGCCCTCGCGGTTGTTGGAGTCCGTAAATTCTGGCTCGCTTCGCTCGCCCGCCAGAATTTACGGACTCCAACAACCGCGAGGGCCATCGACAAGAGGCTACTTCTGCATCCATCCAGCAACGGAGAAATTTTGGAGGGTCAAAAGTGCACACTGCTTCCACTTTTCATGTATTAGCCTGTGAAGATGAATACTTTTTAGTGCACCAGCGATATAGGGATTTTGGCATGCGCGCAGCGCGTAAAATATATAAATTAAAATGTTGAATATTCATGAGCTCTTTTCCAGTTACTAGCATATTAATATCACAATGAAAAAAAGACAATGCGCATGCGTAACTATCGACAGAATTTTGCCTCTTTCTTTTCATTTTTGAACTCGACGCCACTGATTTTGTTTTTATTCTGCATTAATACTTTTGCCCTGCCCACTCTCTTATTTCATTTCCGCCTTAGGAAAAATTAGGAAAAATTATTAAATCTATCTCGCTGCTGCCAGATCAAAACAAAATCAAGAGGTTGAACACCAATTACTCAATCCTACATTAGACTGCATCAGCAGACACGTAGCCACGGGGGGCAGGGGCGTCGCTAAAGGGGGGGTGTGGGGGTGCGACACCTACCCCACCTGTCAGGATATTGTCGGTAAAATTGCGCTGCCGTCGGGAAAAAGAGAAAAGGGGGAGGGAAAAAAAGAGAGGGAAAAAAGAGAGGGGAAAAAAGAGAGGGAAAAAAAGAGAGGGAAAGGGAAAGAAAAGAAAAAAGAAAAGGAAAAGAAAAGAAAGAAAGGAAAAGAAAGGAAAGAAAGGAAAAGAAAGGAAAGAAAAGAGAAGAAAGAAAGAGAAAAAAGAAAAAGAGGGAGGAGAGGAAAGAAAGGGAAAGAAAGAAAAGAAAGAAAAGAAGAAAAAAAAGAAAAAGAGTGAAAGGGAAACCCCAAAAACGGGGGATGAAAGAGAAGAGAGAGAGGGGAGATAAGAGTCTGAGGGAGGAGGAGTGGGAGTAAAAGAGAGAAGGGGGTAGTTGGGTGGAGTCGTCTCGTCGAGGGAGCAAGAAAGACACGGATAAATATGTTGCTGTGTCGGGTCAGCTTTGTCGGTATTCTTGCTCAATCCTTGTGTACTAATTACTATATCAATGCAGAAGTTTGAAGTCGGTGAGATGTATATTGTCGGTCGGCCGACAAGTTTTTTCCCTACGAACTGTGACTTCTTATCCGCTGTGACGACTTCGAGAGTGTCTACAACTACAATAGTTGTATTTTCTCGAAGTTTCACTTTCCTATAATATCAGCTAAAGAAATCAGAGGTTTAAAATTTTCGGGGAAACTAAATTCAAACAAGGTTTAAGAGTCAACAACGGCACGACGAATCGCCTTCCTTTCTTTATATTGTGATGAAACACCAAAAATTCCGGAAGGGGAAACTTCATTTAGACGAGTCGAAAACGGTACAACGAATCGAGTTCTTTCTCTAATAATTTGAGGAAACGTCAAAGTTTTCGCGCTTCGCGCGAGAGGGGGAAAGTGAATTAAGATGAATAGGGCTGAATAAGAGTGGAAAATAGTACGATGAATCGTCTTCCTTTCTCTATATTGTGATGAAACGCAAAAAATTCCGCGCTTCGCGCGGAAGGGGAAAACTTCATTTAGACGAGTCGAGAACGGTACAACGAATTGCTTCTTTCTCTAATAATTTAAGGAAACGTCAAAGCTTCCGCGCTTCGCGCGAAAGGGGAAAACTGATTTCAGACAAAATTAATAGGGCTTATTTAGAGTCGAAAACGGTACAACGAATCGTGTTCTTTCTCTAATAATATGAGGAAAGGTCAAAGCTTTCGCGCTTCGCGCGAGAGGAGGAAACTGAATTCAGATGAATAGGGCCTATTAATAGTCGAAAACGGTACGACGAATCGTCTACTTTCTCTAATAATTTAATGGAACGTCAAAACTTCCGCACTTCGCGCGGAAGGGGAAGTTTCATTTAGACGAGACGAGAACAGTACAACGAATCGTCTTCTTTCTCTAATAATTTAAGGAAACGTCAAAGCTTTCGCGCTACGCGCGAGAGGGGGAAACTGAATTCAGATGAATAGGGCTTATTAATAGTCGAGAACAGTACACCGAATCGTCTGCTTTTTCTCATAATTTAATGAAACGTCAAAGCTTCCGCGCTTCGCGCGAGAATGGGAAACTGAATTCAAACAAATAGGGCTTATTAAAAGTCGAAAACGGTACAACGAATCGTGTTCTTTCTCGAACAATTTGAGGACACGACAAAGCTTTCGCGCTTCGCGCGGGAGGGGAAACCGAATTCAGATGCATAGGGCTTAAATAAGATTAGAAAACGGTACGAGGAATCGTCTTCCTTTCTCTATATTGTGATGAAACGCCAAAAATTCCGTGCTTCGCGCGTAAGGGGAAAACTTCATTTAGACGAGTCGAGAATGGTACAACGAATCGTCCTCTTTCTCTAATAATTTAAGGAAACGTCAAAGCTTCCGCGCTTCGCAAGAGAGGGGGAAACTGAATTCAGACAAAATTAATAGGGCTTATTTACAGTCGAAAACGGTACAACGAATCGTGTTCTTTCTCTAATAATGTGAGGAAACGTCAAAGCTTTCGCGCGAAAGGGAGAAACTGAATTCAGATAAATAGGGCTTAATAAGAGTCGAAAACGATACGAGGAATCGTCTTCCTTTCTCTATATTGTGATGAAACGCCAAAAATTCCGCGCTTCGCGCGGAAGGGGAAAACTTCATTTAGCCGAGTCGAGAACGGTACAACGATTTGTCTTCTTTCTCTAATAATATGAGGAAATGTCAAAGCTTTCGCGCTTTGCGCGGGAGGGGGAGAAACTGAATTCAGACAAGGATTAAGAGTCGAGAACAGTACACCGAATCGTCTGCTTTTTCTCATAATTTAATGAAACGTCAAAGCTCCCGCGCTTTACGCGGGAGGGGGGGGGACTGAATTCAGACAAGGATAAACAGTCGAGAACGGTACAGCAAATCGTCTTTTTTTAATAATTATTTAATGAAACGTCATAGCTTTCGCGCTTCGCGCTGGAGGGGGGGGGGGAACTTCATTCAGCCAAGGATTAACAGTTGAAAACGGTACAATTAAACGTCTTCTTTTCCTAATAATTTAAGGAAACGTCTAATCTTCTGCGCTTCGCGCGGGAGGCCCATCACCCACACCCCCCTAATGAGCGAGCTTTTAAGTGATTCTCTTGCTCACTACCGCCCCTCCCTAAAATAAGATCCTAGCTCCGCGCCTGCATTAAAATATATAGCTATGATGCTGACTAAATTGAAGAAATAATTCGTATATTTATGTCGTCGAGGAAAATGACCATTTTGCGCATATGCAAGTCCATAGGAAAAACAATTTAGCCTTCGGCCCCAGGCTTATAGGGTTGAATTTGTAGATATTGGACATTTAATTTTGTCGGTAATTGGTGGCTAGTTTTGTCGGTAATCGTTGGCCTCTACACCCCCCCCCCCCCACTGAAAAAGGTCTAGCGACGCCCCTGACGGGGGGGGCAGGGGTTGAACTTTCTTAGACCCCTCCCAAGGACGTCGATCGATTACATGTATGTGCCCCCCCCCCCTAAAAAAAAAATATTAAAACAAATCAAACTCTGGCTACGGGCCTGTGCATCAGCACCATCACACCTCAGTCTAATAGAGCATTATCATTTAAGAGTGCCTACCTCATCATAATCACCACCATCATCACAATCATATCTTTCGAAAACTAAGAAAATAAAAGGAAAAAATTATGCAATATTAAGTAATTTCATTAACATTTATGAAGTCATTTATTCCAAATTTTTCTTCCTAAATCAGGCAATTATTTAGTCTTTTTTTAGAAAGATTAAGAATGTACATGTGCTTAGCAAAGTTCAAGGTACAGGATTTCATTATAAATGCGGGGATAAATGCTGTTTAGACTTTAGTATTGGATCTAGACTCAGAGGCGGCGGAGCGACTTCCAAAGTGGGGGGGGGGCACCAACAAAAAAGGGCACTTTCTGGAAAAAAGGGCACCTTCAAAGGGAAATCTCAAAGGGAAAATATACAATTTGTTAGACATTGGTATATACACCTATATTGTGATTACATTATCGGGGATGATTTCAATATATGTTTTTATTTATACATCATATAAGATTTTGCGTATCATCTTTGCAGTTGAGTGTGATGGTCTAAAAATTCATTTGCGAGCGAGAATTCTTTTTAAAGATTTATGAGGTCGCAGTGCAAAAAAAATACATCTTATAAAGAGGAATGACCCAATCCTGATGGGGTTATATAAGCACATTTTCATAACGGAAGAATGAAAAGATCTTTGATAAGTTACATAATTATAACATCTATAACTACGAGCGAGCGTAGCGAGCGAGCCTTGGGGGAA